GGCTGTGAAAACCATCAAAACCACCAATCAATCTATGCAATTTATACAAATATTATTTAGTTGATTGACATTTTCAACCAATAAAAGTTGCTATACATTGAAAATGATTGTTAGTAGTTTTACTATTTGATTGTAAATGTTTTCTGTTGGCTGTGTTTTCCAAATAAACATCCACATCAGACTTCGCTCACCTCGTTTGTTGCGCCTACACCTCCCAATGGACAGGACGACGATGAAGACCATGGCGAGGAAGAGGAGGAGGAAGGTAGAAGCTATTCCTAACACCAAACCAAGAAGTTGTTGTCGGTCTTCGGGAACCAATGGAAGACAAAAGTTAAAATTTATAACAAGGGAACCTCTTTCATGACAGTTTACTTCAGCATTATACAAAAGTATAATTCTAACTTCTGTATTTCTATTTAACTACATTTCAGAGGAAAACATTGTACTTTTTATTACATTTCTGTTATTTGAAAGTGAAATACTTTGCAAATTAAGATTTTACAAAAACATGAATTGTGAATCTCAGTAACACCTCACCCTACAATGTCAAAATGCTGCTTATATGTTTGTGAGTGATAGTAATAATGATCCAAAAATATAACACTCTGAAATGTGCCCTTCTTCATATTGATACATTAAATACATTTTGCAGTTAATTTTTTTATGACTAAAATTTGAAGAATTTTACTCCTGACACAGTACTCTTACACTTTGGTGTTGCCACTTTTTTTCCTCTGAATACTTCAGATCATTTAGTGATGGTTTGTCTTTTGTCACAACACAAATCTAATGAAAACACGTAACTGAATGAAAAACAAACATGATGGTGCTCTTTGTGTTTTATACCCTAAAATCCTTGACAATTCAGTGATTATTGGTGAAGCAGACATGTGCAGCTCACAGTATTTAAATCCTGTAGTATTTTAACTATTTTCTCAAAATATTTCAACATTAGTCTTGAAGAGACTGTCCGCCTGTGAAAATGACATCTAGTGGTCGAAGTAATTATGAAAGGGAAAAAAGGGAAAAGTCCACGTTAGGGGGAGGTTGGGATGGATTGATGACTCAAACAAAACAAAGGAATATGACACAGGAGATCAGCGTCCGATTCTCATGTGAAACCAGTAGTTTATATTGTTTCTATTATCCATGACCATTCGTTGTTATTATTGTAACCATGACAACAAAGGTTGTCTGGTGTTGAGGAAGTACTTATTTTAACCCAAATCATGATCTTTTCCTAAACCTAACCAAGTAGTTTTTGTGCCTAAACCTAACAAAGTTAGTTTTGTTTATTATGGTAACCATGACAATTGAGGTCCGGTACGCATGCCGCCATAGGGGCACAAATTCAGTAGACACTCCCATGGGTCATATCAGATGGTTGAATAAAGGACCTATATGGTTGTTTAGGTTGGTGGACTTGTTGCTCTTGAAACAATACGAGTTTTTTCTTGGAATATTTCAACCTCAACTTTATTCTCTGACCCAAATGTCACTTGGCACAATGGGGACATATAAAGATAAATATACATGATATATTAAGTATAATTGATCTGCAAGTAACGCAGATGTTGTCAGCAGAGCAAAAAGTAAAGATATTGATGAAAAGGTGAAAACCGATTAAATATGATGTCACTCACATGTGGTCGAAGGTGGATTGCTCGTTGGGGAACCTGCAGGTAATGATCAGACATATTGCAAAGATGTTATCGGCTGGATTTATGTTATCCATCGGTGGTTACTTTACAGTGCAGCATATTGTATAAATATAAAGGTTTAAAAGGCTCATTCTCTTGCTGTGTTTGTCATTTAAACTTTGTTTCATCATTGATGTCATACCTGTGTTTGGTGTTGACGTTGAAGTTGGTTGCAAGTTATAACCTTTTGTGAGAGAAATGCATATTACAAGAAATACTTTATTACAGATTGTCACTGAATTTTTCACAATGATTGAAAAGGAGTTGTGACTCAGTGTTAACTTCTCACCAGCATGTATTATTCAATTTCGAAAATCATTACAACACAAAATAAAATAAAACTGACTTAAAGGACACCATTTTTAAAATATTTGTTATTTATGTTTTTGTTTGGACTTTACATGAAATATTTAGAGTGAAGAAATGAAGACAAAAGTCACAAAGCAGAACGATATGAATAAAGATCAAATGTGATGTTACCTGATGGGATCACTGTCAGACGTACAGCTGATTCGTTGTTACAGTAGTATGTTCCCTCATGTGACTCAGTAAGACTATCAATGTGCAGCGATTTTTTTGCTGAACTGTAATGTTGGTCTTGCTCATGAATGTGTATTGTCTCTCCGTCACCATCAACTGTAAGAATGTCAACTTTAATATCTTTCCTCCGTCTGCTCCACGTCACCTTACCCTCCACAGGCTCAGAACAAGACAGATTGACGGAGGACTTCTCTTTACTTACTTTTTCTTGTAATTCTGCAAAAGAAATCATTGGCAGTAAATATGAAGGCATTTTAAGAGTGGTAGCATTTCTGATATTGTGAGTAACTGTCAGATCTGTGTTCACCATCAGAGACAGAATCACATTTAACTGTCAAATTCAGTGGGTCAACATTAAATGTCATTTTTCTTCTTTCTGTTTTTCAATCATGAACAGTTTTGCAGGAAGACAGATGTTTCCAATGGAGAATTATACTCTGTCCTAAACAGCAAGATGTGAACTCTATACCCAGTGGCACTGTTATTAATGTCAAATTGAATTAAAATGAAACTTCGTCTAATCCAGACTCACTGTATTCATTAAAAAGTCTCAAGCAAAACCTGCCAGGATGTGGATAGAGAGATAGAGGAAATTAAGAAAGTGTTCTATATGATATTAGGATGTATAAAAATTTAACTTGACTCATTATTCATATCACTAACTGTGTTTATATGATTTATAAACACTTCCTGAGATACTCAAGATTCACACTGTATAGAAGAAGAAGTAATAGAATAAGGAATGTCTTAAAACTGATTAAGACGATAAGACGATATTACACAGGATCATTGATTCATTCAAAATAAAATTTTCTTACTTGCAGTGACAATGCAGCCCAGAACAAGGACTAAGAGGCAGCTGTAGATCTTCATTGTTCGTTCTCTGAAACCTCTCGAACAGTAAACACATTTTTTATTTGAGCTGAAAACAGGAACTCTGTTTCTTTCCTCAGACCAAAATCCCACATTCTCCAGATGTTTTTGTCTTTTTGTGGTTGATAGACACTGATGATGTGATGATGATGAGTTGAGTCACAGCCAATACGACGCTAGTACAAGAGAGAAATGACTGACTCAGAAAAAGACAATATCACATCATAAACTTGTTGTCTAACCCCATGACATACATGTCCCTATACCAAGAGTGATGTTGCCTTATATGTCATCTTTAAGGGGACCTATTATTATTAAATATACAGTATATATTATGTGGATATATGGAGGTATAAGTTTATAATATATGTCAAATACCCATAGTAAGATTTGTATATGTACATATATTAAAAATATCTACATGATGGATTTTTTTGTGGTATAACATGTTGCAACCATATGTGTGAACAATATATATTAAATTTACATACTCAAGTTTATTAAAACAACATACATATAAAAATGCTAAAAGCTTATTTATGTTTTACTTATTAATTTCTCATTTATTTTAAACATGTCTATGAAAGTGGTCTCAGACATTTGGACCCTACTATACATGACATCAGCATATACTGACAAGCTTTGAGATGGATATATATATGTATGTAACATATGTCTACAATATAAGCATAGATATATAAACATACACATTTGTATGAGCTAGACATATACGTCAATATATGAAATTATATTCATATATAAGATCAGTAACCGGAAAATAAAATGAAGCAGAACTTTATCAGGTACTAATCTCAGAGAGCAGACCTGCTAAACAACAAAAACAAAACCACATTTTGAGGAACCAAAGTTTCAGGCTGTCGTCAGAGTTCTCAGATGCCTCTGAAGTCAACCACACAGATGCTGACGACCTGTGAGAAAACATGCAACTCAGTGTTACCAGCTGAACCATTTGGTAGCTTTTCTTAACTTGGAAACATAAAGTGACCACATGCCATTTAAGGTAGTTGAAGTTGTGTAAGAGAGCCACAGGAAATATATGACATGATGCATTTACCACTCTAAATAATTATTTTAGTCATTTCTCCCAGGTAGCAAAATGAACCTTCTGGCCCAACATATGCCTGTGTCTTTGGCCCGAGTCTGGCCCATATACTTCCACATCTGGGCAGATTCCGGCTGTTATCCTCCAGTATTGGCTGACAGCCAGAAGATTTTCTGCCTTCTGTGTTTTCCTTGTGTCTCTTGTTTTGCCCTGGTGTTTCCCTCGTCTCTGTCTCCCCCGTCTGGTTTGTTTACACATGTCCCCATCAGAGGCGTGGCTACACCTGAGCCCCCAGGTACACCTGCAACTAATCATCTCATCACAGTCACTACAAGAAGCCATGGCTTTCCTCCACTCCTCACCAGATTGTTCAAACTACGTCTCACAGTCTAGTGTGTGTTTTCGCTGAGTCTGTTTCTGCTTGTTGCCTTTTTGTCTCCTGTCACCAGAAGTCTTCTCCTGTCTGTGGCTCGTGCAAGCAGCTCCTGTCAATGAACCACTGCCACAACCTACCTGAGTCTGCCAGTGTCTCTAGCCACGACACTCACCTGCCATCTTCAGCCATTTAGAAGGGTCTTAAATATGACATTTCTTGGCTACATGCTAATATGCTGCAAGACTGACAGTATGTTCCAGAAAGACATGATTCCTCACTTCTTTGTCTGTGCAGAAGAAAATGAGGTGCACTGTTCTTGTCCTGCAGGGTGACGCTGGTGTTGTGAGTTCGATGAGGAGAATCTAACATCACACTGTATTTTGTTCTGCCTCTTAACTCAGTGTAGAAAACCACACTCGGACAAGCAACACCGTTGGCTAGATTCATGCTTTATTGTGCATATCTTAAAAACAGCAGATTTTCAGTGTGACAAAAGATAAAGATTTGAGGAATGAGGATGAGGACACAGCACGCCACACACCTTAATACCTCAATCCAATGAAGAACATGAGCTTAAACTCTGATAGCATCCAGGACCAGATCCCACACAGAACTTCCAGTCATTTGGACTGTACTTGTTTGGACTGATGATGATGATGATGATGATGATGATGATGATAATGATGATGATGATGAGGGGTCTGTGACTGTGGAGGAGGAAGAGACTGGTGATCTGTGCTGGACGCCCTTCAGCTGTGTCAAACAGACACCTGCGAGGAAACACAAAAGGACAGAGGATGGAAAAGCTTTCATGAATGAAAACAGATTCCTCTGAAAAAGAGATGGTAAACACTGAGGTTTAAACATTTTCTGGATGGTCAGCGATTCGTCTTTCTTTCTGATAAATTTATTTGCAGTTCTTGCCTCTGTCTAACCCTTAACTAGGTCTAACAGGTGAAAGAAGAAGGTTTCTGGGGGGTGGGACTAGTGGACAATGGCTGAATTCCCACCCAAAAAACTGCTTTAAACTGCATTTTACTGTCTGTTGTGTCTGTAGTAACAGTTCCTGAATCAGTCACAGTGCCAGTGTTGAAAACAGGATGGCTGATGAGGATGAACACTGATCACAGTTCAGATTTTACCGCTCTTGTTTCTGCGTGATGGAGGATCAGAGATCGTTTTCTGTTCCTGCTGTGAGTCGCCTCTGCTTCTGTATCTGTTCAGCTGCAAAAGACAGAGAACAAACATGGAGATGATGGAAGGCGCGGCGGCAACCACACAGACCGTTTCGCAAATATCTCGACTAGATTCTGATGAGGCAACGACGCAGGTTGCCAGATGCTGTTCAGGAAACTTGTGCACATTTCAGCTCTGAACCATGACATTTTATCAGCAGGTGATGCAACAGCAACATGATGAATCAAAGCAACCTCTTCCTGCAGTGGCTGTTCTATTTTACATGCTGCTTTTTGATGCTTAACTCCTCACGCAGACATCACACGACTGCTGTTCATTAAATCAAACACGACACCATTATATATATGAACATAAATTAATACACAATGTTTTCTGTCATGTAACAACTAGACTGTGTCCACTCAGTGTTTCATTGTGGGTTAAGATGTCAACAGTTCATCTGTCGTCATAGTCATGTGCTTCTGAAGTTGAAAATGTGTGTTGTGTCGTCTGGTTTCATCAAACACTTATTAGTGTGATTAGTGTGTGTTCTGATGCAGTGCTGCTACACACTGAACAAAAATCAAACGCCTCAGCTTCAGCACATTTTCATGTTATGCAGCACAAGACCAAACTATATTCACCTTTTCTGCAGGTAACGACAGTGATGCTGATCATGGTGATTAAATAGAGTATTCCAAGCAGCATGCGAACAGGTGTTTGCCAGAGGTAAGGAGAAGCTGGAAGACAAGGAAACATTCATGATCAGAACCTCATCAGTCACCAGGTTCATTCAAATGCTCTTGTTGTGTCTCGGTTTCTTACAACGACTTTGTTTTTTTCATTCTAGTTCTACCTGTGTTTCCTGGTGGAGTTGATGCTGCAGTTGTTCCTGGTGGAGTTGATGCTGCAGTTGTTCCTGGTGGAAATGATGCTGCAGTTGTTCCTGGTGGAGTTGATGCTGCAGTTGTTCCTGGTGGAGATTTTTTAATCGGCATGTGTAGAGTAATTAAAACATGTAATAAAAGGCAGGAAATACAGTTCACAGTAACTCATTTGATACACATTAAAAAAAAAACATTCAACACTTAAAAAAAAACCTCGGTCACATCCATTTTTGGAAAAAGGTGTCAACAACACTGTTGTCACAACAAAATGTTGTGTGTGGCTTTCAGTCTGTGTGTCTTGCCTCCATGTCAGAGGGTAGGGGACCTTCTACCTGTCTGTGACCTGAGGCCTGTACTATGAAGCAGGATTCGAGGTTAGCGAGGTAACTTCAGGTTTAACTCTGGGTTTTCAGTCCTAAGAATCAGCACTCACTGACTGAAATGTTCATTCAGAGTGTGGATCATTTTCTCTAATCAAAGTCATCAGAGGGTTTAGGCTTTATTTCCTGTTATCATCAAAGAGTCTCCTCTTGTTACTCTGAGCTGCTGGGAGGAAGAAAAGAGTAAAAGCATCAACACTGGTAGGAATCCTGCGGGATTAAAGAACCTCTGTTCAGTTCAAATGAAGCTGTAATAGTTATAACATAGTGATAAACTCTCCCTGTATTTGTTAGAAGCATTTGAGGCTTTCAGACATTTAATCTATTCTTTGTGATGATTTATATAACCACATGTTATTTTGCTTTATTAACTGCTTTAATCTAATTTTGTTTGTTTTTGTGTTTTAATGAATTTAAGAATTGAACACTTCGATCTGGTTCATCTTACTTGTCTTGACCTACATCTTTCTGGGTTTGTTGTGGACGTATCTGTACAGTTGTTGCTGCTGGTGACTGTCTCATTGTTTGAATATACAGTTGTTGTTGGTCTTGTTCCCGTCATTGTACAACAGAGAAAATTCAACCTACTGGGCAATAAATGTTTAAAAAAGGAACAAAGCCATGTCCACTTTTTGTGGTGAGTGGTTCAGTATCAGTCTTCTCACTATTTAAACCACATAAACACAGAGCAGGTTGTTTACTTCCTGTTCGACACAACATTAAACCTGCTCTCTAGGTGTGGTGCAGGTTACGCATCTGTATATTTGTGTGACTGCTTTCTTCTTCTTTTTCTGTGATTTCTTGTCCCTCATGTCGCTCACCTTCGATCACTCTCAGATACACAGCTGGTTTTCCATCACAGTAGTACAGTCCGGAGTCACGAAGCTGCACCTCTGTTATAGTCAACGTCTTGTCCACAGTGGAGACAGGAGACCTGATTTGTTTTTGTTTTCCAGCAACTTCTCTGCTCCATGTTGGACCGTCTGATCCTCCAACACCAGGAGGACATTCCAGAGCGATGCTGGTCCTCTCTTTAGCATTGTGTATAGTTGTTCCTGTAGAGGAAAAAACCTTCACATTTACATTTAGTCATCTGGCAGATGCTTTTATCCAAAGTGACTTTCAAGGGAGGGACACGAAACATGAGGTTGGGGAAACTTCAGAGATTTGAGGAACATGTTGAAGACTATCACAAATTCTGGAAGTCTGTTCAAAGTTAGAGTTTTTTGTCAAAACAAATTTAAATGAAAAGATTAACACCACTGGTGACTGTAAGTTAAACATGAAGCTACAGAGAGCAGCTGGTTAGCTTAGCTTAGCAAAAGACTGGAAACAGGGAAACAGCTAGCATGGCTCTGTCAATTGTACAAAAAATCCACTTAGTGGCGGCTCTAAAGCTCACTGAGTAACACATCATATCATGTTTGTTTCATCCTCACAAAAACAAAGTGTAAAAACAAAAATGTGAAAACTCAACTTTAAATTGCATCGAGATTCAAAACAACACTGGCGAGATGTTGCATAATACTTTACAGTTACACATTTACATTTGAAATGTAGCATTTCATTATTAGGAAGTTTAATTTCACATATAAATGTTTTACAGTACTGATGTGTGACAAAGGGAAACCTTTCAAAGGTAAAGAGGAAATTTGTTCTTTGAAAAACAGAGAAAACAGAAATCAGAACAACTTTGATAAAGTCTGATGTTACCTGATGGGATCACCGTCAGTTCTGCAGCTGCTTCATTGTTGCAGAAGTATGGTTCAGAGTCTTGAGAAACGCTCTGCCATGATCAGTGACTAAAATTTTACTGCCTGTGGACTGTTATCTTCTGCTGGTCATGTGTCTGAACTGGTCCTTTTCATATCAGTCTGTAATCTTAGCGTCAACTTGTGTTTCCATTAATGCTCATCTGGCTGTGACTCCACACGTCGCTGGTAGGCCTCCCACAGGTTATGAGGAGAAGGACAGAAGAGTGACTTCCTGTCTCTCCTCAGATACTTGACAGGATTGTCCTGCAAAACACAAAGAATTTAAAATAATCAAGAAATGTAACATTTAAACTGTCTAATGCAGTGAGAGGACATTGAATCTGTTTAATTGGGTTTGTTTACATGATATGAGATCACTTTATCAAACATTCTGACACAGTCTGCAAACCCAGAACATGTAAAGGACCTCACCACTTTCGATGCTTGGCAGCACTTTATGATCAATATCTACAGCATATTCATTTAAGAAGTCCATTGAAATAAATACCCTTCTAAAGCAAGTTGTTTTAGTCTCCTGTGCTCTTCAACTGCTGAACCCCGTCTCAGGTTAAACCCATTGTAACAAGTTATATAATTCCGAAACAAGTTATACCATATATATATCCAACCAGAATAAAAGGTCTTACCTGCAGTGACAGTTACAGCCCAGAAAAACAAAGGCTAACAGGTAGCTGTAGATGATTCACCCTCATCCCTGACACAGCTCTGAGGTTTGATATTTTCTTTGTCGTGAACTGAATCGCTCCAGTTTCTCTTAACACTGAGAACAGGAACTATGGTGGGTCAGAATACCGTGTTTAATCCTCAAACACAAATACACATCCTCCACACATCTGAGCATTTCTTTGTGGTCGATGAAGAAGTTACAGGTCAGTTATTTCTACAACAACAAATACTAGCGAGAATTAATGTTTAGCCTATGCATATTCCACCAGTGTAACTGCAGCCTATATCTTATATAAATTACAACTGTTGTTCTGCAATAAGTTTACTGGTGAAATATTTTTCAATGAATATTGCTCTCAATATCTTTGTGCAGCAACTTCAGTGGTGGACATCATAAAGTTGAAGTTGACATCAAGGCATCGCCTCCAGAGTCGTTCACACCCACAAAGTTCTGTTCACAGTCAAAGTTTTATACTTGTATTAGTTAGTTCTTATGTATTTTTGTATGTGGTTTGTTTATTTTCGGTGGTTGTCCCCAACACGCTCATTTGTTTGAACTGTTGTATAGTGCTAACTAATACAGGAGCACACAGATCCATAGTGAGATTTTAAACACCGTAGATAAATAATCTATTAATTTGAACAATGACGGAGGGAGTGTTTCGATCCTTTACTGAAGTAACAGTAGCAGGTTGTGAATGTAAACATACACATTACAAGTCACCTAAAGTATCAAAAAGTAGTTGTTCTGCAGTAACATTTCCCTTGGTGCTAATGCATTATTGGATACAATATTACGCTCTGTATTCTAATGTATCAGTATCATCACGTAGAATTTTTAGCTGTCTTGGACCTGTCCCTCACAAGGCGTTTCATTCTGTAAGTTTGTTGGTTATTTATATTAATGTAAAATGTTAATAAACAAGTGAGCACTCTAACTATACAGTAGTCTATGTTGTCAAATAAATTGGGGTAAAAAGTGTATATATTTCCTTTGCGATTTTTGTGTCGTATCAGTATTAAGTGTTATGGAGTACAAAATTAAATGTTTTTGTTTGACCTTGCAAACACAGCCACAAACTACAGCGGCCAGAAGTTAAATAGCAGCATCTCTAAACTGTTCCACAAAATGTTCTCATGAGGTTCAACCCGCTGCGTTTGATCAGGCATTCGTTTGTATCAGTGAGGCTCATAAACTGGAATGCAGAGTTTTTCTCATCTGATACACAAGTCAGGCCCACATCACAGTACAAGTACAACTCACATGTCGTCAGTGCAAAGGATTTTAACTGAAGCATCAAGACAGGCAAAAAAAAGAAGGGGGTAGACGGGGGGGAGAG